TAACTCAAAAACTAATTCATATTAGAAAATCAACACACACTTGGCTGGTTACAATTCTTGAAATGGAAAGCATGAGAGTATAAATTAAATTATACATTCAATTCAGAAGCTGGGATGCTGCCATCAGATTCATAGTTTCAAGACCAATGCATAATAAACTGCCAAGGAGGTGGCTGTCTGCTCATCAGATCTGCTTTCAGTAGATGGAACAGGCTGAACATTCTCCATGTGGTAACCACAGAGATGAATGAGGCCTTCTTCTTTGCTTTCTTTGTCAGGAGGGCCAGTGGAGGAAGCTGCATTAGGAGGACATGTCTGATGTGGAAAAAATGAATGTCGTCTTTCACTTTATGTGCTACAGAAATTGAAAGGGATCAGAGCAAGGGAAAGTTCAAGTATCTCAATGATAGTCTCACCCGTATTGAGAAATTAGCCTGCCCACTGAATAATAAAAGAAAAAATTGTGACCACAGAAATATTTGCATCACAGGAAGACCACAGGATGAAAACATGTCATTCTGCAGTTGAAACCAGAATGTGGTCAAATGTAAAATTCACAATCTACTTCAATATATTATTTCTCATTGGCAAATTTGCTACAATTTGGCATACCATTCACTTCATACATCAACAAGAATCAGTTCTACTCATGATTAGTTTTTATTGTATTAACTTATTTTCTTACATTCTGAGATAGAATTTATTTCCTGAGGCCTATCTTACAGCCTCTTTCTAAAGAACAGCAATACTGGGTAATTATTTATAGTTGCTTAAGGGCAAAGCATTATGCTAAATAAAGTGAAATTATCATATGGTGGTCACATACAGAGTCCTTAGAAAAGAATTTAGTCGGGTAAGAATTAGCTCCATTTTCCTGTGTGCAGTGAGATACTGAAATGAAATTTGGAAGATGAAACTCCTCTAAAAGATGTCACTTGTCAACCTAACAAACTCATCATCAGTACCTTTCTCTGTGTATTTTCCTGAGTGTTATACTCTTTTCTCAATATTATCTGGGCACTCAAATGTAAAACTCATTTCTTTTAGTTGACAAAGTCCTTTCGTTAGGGATAATCAAAGACTACTCATAATTTTTCCATCATATTTTCTAATTAATATTTTCTCTCCCATTTCCTCCTTTATTTGCTGTTTACATTTTATAATTTGAACTTAATCATTGTAACCAGTACCACTGTGCTTGAATTTTTCCATAAGGCATTCTGCTCCAGGCTGCAAGAGTTGGGAGTTCTGTTTGAATCCTCTGAGATAACTTGTATTCCAGTGAGAGGAAAAGACCCCCACTCCTGTCCAGAGTGAGGATGACTAAGGGCCCTGCTGCTCATACAGTAGTCATCAGATTGGAATTCTCATCTGAGAACCTCTTAGAAATGCAGGATCTCAGGCTCATCTCCAGTCCTATTCAATGAGAAACTGCATTTTAACAAACTCCCAGATGATTGGTATGCCCACTACAGAGTAAGGATTGGGCAATGGTGTTGGCATTAAATGGTAATTGAATGTGGAAAAAAGAGCCTCAAAGTTCCACATGGTAGCATTAGCAGAACTATTTCAGAAAACCTAATTTACAGTCTTTTCCAAATATATTTGGAACGTATACCTGGAATGAATGTGTGTGTGTGTGTGTGTATATATCTGTGTCTAAGGATAGCTGAACCAAATAGATGGATAAGGAACCATCTAAAATAAAAAATTAAAAACTTTACAAAATCTCCCAAAGGATGCCCCATTTATTTTTGTGTTTTTGTGTATCAGACTTTTTAATGTAATCCAGAATTCTCTTCACAAGTAAAAATGAGGTCAGATTTGTTTTAATATTCAGATTACATGTTTTTCTATCTTTCATATGGTCTAAATAGTAATAAATACAGTTATCCATCATCCCAATTTCTAATATCTTACTCTGTTTGTTTTTTAATTGAGGTAAATCTGGGGTAATGTAACATTTATAATTTTAACCATTTTTAAGTGAACAGTTCAATGGCATTAAATACATTCACATTGCTTCCAAACATCGCTATCGGTGTACAGGACTTGGTCAGTATCACCGGAAGAACCTCTGCACCCATTTAACAGTCATTTTCTATTTTCCCCTCCCCACAGACCCGAATAAGCCCAGCTTGACTCTCTGTCTCTATAGCTTTGACTATTTTAGATGCCTCAGGTAAGTAGAATCATACCTCTACTTCAACTCGAAGTACTGGTATTTTGTGACTGTCTCACTTCACTTTGCATGTTTTCAAGGTCCATTCATGTCATAATACAACAGAATTTCATTCCTTTTTAAGGCTGATTAATATTCTGTTGTATGTTTATATTTTCATTCATCGGTCACTAAACATTTAGTTGTTTGTATCATTGCACAATGGTAAATAATTTTGCTATAAAACCTTACTTTTTAATGTCACCAGGTGTAAAGCTATTGAAAGCTACCTTTGCCTTGGGAAAGCTGAGCAATCTTCACATCTTTAGCAGAAGCCATCACCATGTGCATGCATGATGGAATTCCTGGGGAAATTCAGATGTCCCATTTGACTCAATTGTGGCTGAAGGGCAGCATGATTATTGCTCAAAACAAGAAACTTCTCTGCAGATTTTCTTCCCCTTGAAGTCTAATTTAGTAAGACACAGAATTCCTCAGTGGGAAAGAGAACATATTCACTCCAGTGTTAGCTTACATTCAAAATTGGCCCAACTGCAAAGTGTACAGTGCTTCATGCCGGCCATTTCCTGTCATTCAGAGAGAGCCATATCCCCAAAAGCATGTGATTCACCCAGTGGGTGAATTAGAGGAGATCCCAGCATCCATCAGGACATCCCAGGACCTGCCTCTCCTCTCACAACCCATGCCCTGTGTGGAATCTAGGTAGTCAGTCTGGATTCGCTTCTCTCCAGCTTCTCTGGGCTATCTCTTGGCAACTTTAATTTCAGAGGAGCTCATTAATATTTTTATTGCCACCTCACCTCAATAAGGAACACTGCCAGTCCCTCTAATCTGTTTTTAAAACAGTGAGTCACAAAGTGAAAAAACTTGCATCTGAAATGTTTCTATCTCTTGAGCCTCTGGGTAGCAAGCAGTTTTCCAGAATGTGTGTGTTGTAATATCAAAACCCTGCAGAGCACTGAGTTGCACAAGAGAAATGGGTGCTCTATCTGCTTGCAGAGCTGGAGCCAGAGCCCACCTTAATCAAGAAGCCCCATGGTATTCGCCCAGAACTTGAGTGATGTTTTTATATCCATATGTAAGTAAAACCTACCATTCAAGTGGTTATTTCCAGATCTAGAGAATGCACCCAAGGGAGAATGGATGGATCCTCCTCAAGGTATCAAAATGTAGAACTTAATGAAAAAAATTTTTTCAGCCTATAAAATAATTTATATGTGATGTCTTTTGGGTACTTTGTTACATGTATGTATACACTTGGGATTTGAGGTCTGGTGAAATGGGCCCATAAGAACTCTAGTAAATTCAAAGAGGAGTCCTGTAAAGGAAGAACTCATCCTGGGGAAAAAGTAATTCAGACAGATGAATCTGATCCCAAAACTAACCTGTAGGTGTCTAAGGGTCATACAATTCTGATGCTATATGGCATCTGTCTTTTGGATCTGACATCACACACAAACAGCTAAAGGCTGGGGGCAGAGGTATTTTGACAAAAACTAGAAAACTCAATAAGGTGACAAGAGCTCTGTAATGCACTAAAGCTTAGGAAATATTCTAGTGATGTGTATGTGCCAGCATGTGACATAAAAGTGGTGGTGGGGGGTGGTGACTGTCCCAGATCTGTAACACATACGGTGAAGATTTAGTGCCTGGATGACTTGAGCCCCTTGTTGAACTAGCCCTTGGGCTGCAGTGTCCAGAGGAAGTGTGCAGATGGAGGTGGTATCCCTGACAGAGAGGAGTAGTACTGTGGCACCCATGTGACTAGGTTTCAGTATCCTCCACATAGGTATGAGATGCCAATGCCAACTGGAAGAGGCACTTCATCTTCAAAGTGAAACTCATGAGGAGGCCAAAAGGAAGTCATTTTATACAGCTTTGCCAGATGTCCCTCACTGAGGCAGACTGGGGCAGGAGAAGAGAAAACAGCAATGTCATGGTATATCTTCCAGAATCTGTGCTGGAGTACACGTGAGATACTCCAGAAAAACCTAGAGGGATACCCTCAACGAGAATGATGCGTGTGAGATGAAATTCATATTCCCACTTTCCAAGGGCTCCCATCACTTCTACATTGGATTTCCTTGAACTCAGGATGCCCAAGTCCCCTTAAAATTAGGCATTTTTATGCAAGTTTAAGAATGATTCTTTAGGAAGATGATCAGGTTTTTACTTATTACCTCATTTCCTAGATGGGGTTTGTTTGTTTTTGTTGTTGTTGTTGTTTAAAGAGTGAAGGACATTTTAATGTTATGTTTTCACTGTCTTTAAAACTTTTCTATTTCCCTGTAGTAGGAGTCACAACTTCAAGGAAAATGGGGCAGACAAACAAGTGAGTTTATGTAGCCAAGAAGAGCTCACAAGCCCTGTATAAAGGCTACTTCAAAGAAAACAAGAACAAAACCTCCATTCCTGTTTGGCCAAATAAACAATGTCCATGAGCCACATAGAACCAAGAGGCCACCAGGATCATCACTTGGTCCTCGTTCTGATTCCTACCATGTGGATGGTTACTCTCACTCTCTCATATCTGGATGAGTGTCATAAACCCTCTTTTCCATTGTTAGCATGGCTGAAAACCAACAGAGTGGTATCACAATGTCACTTCAGTTTCCCCAGAGCTGGCCACCTACATTGTCTTATCTTCTGTTTGCAAACAATGGGCATCAACATCCCATGGAGGAGACCAGGCTGGTGAGTGGGAATGATGACACCCAACCACAGGGTGCCCCTGTGCTGACAGACCCTGCACCCAGGGCTTCCCTCCTGCCACTTCACTTATTCTTCCCAAGAAACTATTAGTAAGCACCGCACTTACCCCAGCTTTACAGATGAGAGGACTGAGGCCACACGTCACATAAGTGCTGAAGCAGAGATTCCATGACTCCAAAGTCCATGATTTTAACCAAAATGTACATATACACTTAGGATAAAGCAAGAATGAGTCAGTGGTTGGAGGATTGTGCAACAGGGTGGAGGGAAAGATAGTGAAAAGTTAGTTAATGATTCACAGGGAATCTTGTCTGCAAAGACAGACCCTGGGAGCATTAGAGACCAGGCAAGAACAGTGGACTAGAGGATCTTAACAGGGGCTTGGTGGTGGGCGAGGGAGATCTGTGGGTAAGGGTGGAGTGTGGTCTGATAAGGAGGATGTGAGGAGGTAGCACTGAGGCTGGGCTGCTCCTCCAACACAATGGCTTTCTCTCCCTCCTCTTCTACTCTTCATCCATCCATCTACCAAGTTCCAGCTAAGAACAAGTAAATGGAAACTTAGAAAAGCAAGGAAACTGAAACTTAGGGGAAAAATACTGCAGGCATTTCCTATATTTCCAACATATGTGATTTTTCTCTATTCCTCCCACCCTACTCTTGGGTGTCTGCTCTCTATACAGTTAAGAAAACAAAAATAGAAAAATATACTTTTAGTCATACAAGGAAAAGGACAGGGACTTTCCCCTTGAGCACAGCAGAGATAGGCCCTATGGGGCAAGTTTGGTGCATTGTGAGTGTTTCTCTCTGAGGGCAGAGACTGAAGTTCTCACAGGCAATGAAACCCAACCCCCATGGGAGTCCTAGGAGACAGAGCAAAATGCCACTTGGCCCGCTCATCTCTGATCTTTGTGTAGGGTTGATTTCCAGCACTAGCATTTCAGGCAATGAACAGAATCTTCCCATACCTCCTAATCTTCCCATACTCCCAGGATGGTAAATTGTGTGTGTCAACCTCTCTAGACCTCAGAATCCAGACATTTGGCAAAACATTATTTTAGATGATCCTGGAGGGGGCTGTTTTAGAGGAGATTAACACTCTATTCAGGAGACTTTGAGAAAAGCAGATTATCCTCCATAATGTGGGTGAATCAGTTGAATGACGCCTCAATGGAAATACTGACTTCCTTGGAGGAAGAGGGAATTCTGCTTGCAGTATGCAGTTGGACTTGAACTGCAGCTCTTCCCTGGGTCTCTGAGTTGCTGGCCTCCCCTGCAGAGTTTAGCATTGCTGGCCTCCATGATTTCATGGATCAATTCCTTAAAATTAATCTTTCTCTCTGTATACTTGCATCCTATTAGTTCTGTTTTCCTGGAGAATTTTGCTTAATACCCATTCTATTACCAATTCTAACATGAACTTTTTTTTCGCTCATTTCTCCAAACTTATAAAATATTTAAATTGATGTTATTTAAAATAAAATGTTTGTTTCTAATATTTGAAAGAGTTTTCAACATCCCCCAATCAGTTCTTAATTTGGAACGTGCAACAGTTTGCTATATGGAGCCAATCGACTAGTATAACCATCATCCATGATTTGTGTAGCATGTGACATCTCACCAAGGATCACAGGGCTCCATGAAGTTTTAAATAATTGCTTTCCATAACCTTCTCATTCAATTGCCATCTGTAATCGCAGAAAAAAATATATTTCCTTCCTAGAAGATACAAAATATGAACCTTTTGAAGGAGACAGAGCCTCAAAGAAATGTTTTGAAAGGGAAGAATGGAAAAAGAGAATGGAATATATTTCTCCTCAATAAAACCTCATTTTAGTACTGACAACCTGTTTTCCTTTCAGCACAGCTTTATAGCATTTTAGCTAATAACTGCCCTCTTTATTCATTTGTTAGTGGCAGTTTATGTCACTGCCTTGTATATTTTTAAAGTACTGGGTATTGGCCAGTACTATAGCAATTTTGGACATAGCACTGTTCAACATAAAACCACAGCTTGCGAGTAAGAGTAGGTCTTAGGTGTATGAGTATCTATAGTACTTAGCTGTACATGGACAGATGTCAATACATGTGTATCACTGAATGTGTATTACTACAATGTGAGGTATTGGTAAGGGTTCAGCACCAAGGGAGCCCTCCAAATCTACATGCACACAGTCATCAAATAAGGATTTATCCCTCTTATATATTTACACATCACATTACTCCTCATATTCTAAGTGTATGTGTATGTATGAAAAGAGAGAGAGAAACCAACAGAAGCGGAGCAAATGAGGTTGTCCCTTCTGCACTCTGAACACCTTGATAGGGGCTTATTCAGGTCAGCAAATGTGCAGTGTCACTGGTTTGAATACTGTTTCTGCCATGAGAAAGTTATATGATTTTGGAAATTATTACTTAACTTTTCTGAATTTTCAGGGTTTTGTTTTGTTTTATTTTGTTTTTAACTTGGAAAGTGAACAGTATAACATCTACATTGAAGACTCTTTTGAAGCATAAAAGGTAATTTTTGAAAGAAAGAGGCACTTAATGTTGTCATAGAAACGGTAGCCTCATGGATCCATCACCCTCTCCTGCTATAGCACTAGGCACATTGCCTTGTACTTGGAACGCACTCAGTCGTGTTTGTTGAATGAATCACAAAGAAGAAGTGTCTTGGCAAAAGGACACACATGCTATTTTTGGCTTTCTATACAGCAGACAATAAATTTTATGGCCTGAATCTTATGAGTACAAAGTAAGGAATCATTCATAATGTGATCCGTTTCTACCCCAAATGTTCAATGAGGAACCATCAGCTCCGAGGTATTATTCATGTTCCAATCTTTCTCCTTTATAAATACCTTCTTCACTTAAATGACACAACAACCCCAAAACAACTTCAGTTGACACTTCAGTTACACTATGGAACTTCTATCAAGTTTATGGCATTACTAGTTTGAGTTTTCACATGGGAAACCAAAATGCTCATTTCAAGTTTATAAGAAATAAAATCACAACACAGACATCTTACTGTCAAAATTGTTTCCCCTCTCACTTCTTTCCTTCCCTTTCCCCTGTCTTCTCCCTACCCACCATCTGTTTGTTTGGAAGATCAATGAATGAATCATCCAACAGGGGAAAGAACTCTGGATGACACAGTTCTTTAAGCCACATCTGAAATGAATTGGGAGATTAAAAGGCTACACAATAACATCAGTCAGTATGCATGCTATTCTTACTGAAAGATGGTCAGATGCCAGAAGGGTCCTTAGTAACATACTGTCCCAGGGAGCTGTCAGCTCCAACATCCACACGTAGGGCTTCAAACAAGATGTTGGCAGCCACATTGAACTCTCTGCTTGTACCTCCATAATTCCTCAGGTAAATGATTCACCAGATTATGGTTGCATTAAGTTAGAGAATCACAACTAATAGGTAAAGGAATGTATCAAAACCAAGTTTCGGGTGGGGGAGAACAAAGCCTCGACAGACTAGAAACTGAGAGCAGACTAAAGGAAGGAAGGGAGGAAGGACAGCGAGTACATGGTTGGATTTAGGGCCAGATGAGCTCAAGGGCCTGAATCAAGTTTCAACTCTAATCTGTGGAAATTGAGTGGAGGCTGGAATCCCAAAGAGGCACTTCATTTTTTCAATGGAATCATTTAACTAATACTCTGTGTCAAGAGATGCTGAGAATGTATCACTGAGAAAAATAGAACTCTATGAATTGTTAAAGATGATTTTCCAGTGGGGAAAGATATGAAAATCAATGTAATTAGCTAATAAAGTATAAAGTATATTGAAAGAGAAATAGAAATGCTATAGAAGAATTTAAAAATCAGAGTAAGGACAATTGTAAGTACCAGAGTAGAAGCTTCAGTTTAAATGGTGTAGTCATAACATGAAAATTACTTAAATATCAATAATTCACTAGCATACTTTAAGAATCACAAAAGTAAAAGAAAATCATCTTGTAACATGACACAGAAACATAGAATTTGATGAAAATATGTAAAAAGAATTAGTCACATGTTTTATCTAACTTAAAAAAATTTACATATTATACCAGAGATGGTCTAAAAGCAATTCAGATAGTTGCTGGCCCATATACTTCTTTAATAAAACACTATACTGCTAAAACAAAAAGCACAGGTATGTGGATTTTATTCACCAGCAAGGTCAAAGCCTTTTAAAAATGGTTTCAGCTCATCATTGGTCATGTGACTGATACTATTATTTATCCCTTTTCCACAGGTGGGGATATTGAGGTCCAAAGAGTGTTTATAACTGAACACAATGAGTCAGTGCTATGAATTATGGAAAATGCATGCAAATGACTTCATCTCATGTGGGTTTGGCCATGTAAGAAGTTAAATTACCTCAGCGATTTTAAGAACTTGGCTTTGTTCATAATGATCCTCTTCCTGTCTGGCTATCCCCAAGGACCTGGTTACTGAGCAAAGCTGAGTGAGTACTCAGGATGAGTGCAAAAGCCTGAAAACACCATGACAGTTTGCAGAATGTGCCATGCTAGAGCTCCCCCCTTCATAAAGGAAGTCAGAAAAAGACTGTGTGCTGCTAAGAAGGGTAAGGTCTCAAGTTATTTTTTTGTTTGTTTTTGGAGGTTTTCTCCCCCCCTTTAGAATAGTGCCTTTTTAGCTCTCATTTCATAGGAAAATGACAAAGTTTTTACAGTAAGTCCCTTATCTCCTTTAACTTTCTAAATTTTGAGAACATGGTACATTCTACATATTTGTGGTTCAACTAATGAAGTCACTGATTTGACTACACTTGGCAAGTGACAGTAATGGCAGGAACCCACAAAACAGCCAAGGATGATTCCTTTAAATTAGGAATTCGTGATAAAATTGGGAAATTCATCCAGAAGGGATGAAGCTCTTTAGGTTATCCTATGACATAATTTGAAATGTGTGGCCAAAAGAATGCAGCTAAGTATTTATTTTATATCATTTAATCAATTTGAAAGTTTTCCAAGTTACTGCAGACTAAACTTAAAGCAGGATATTGTACTAATCGACTCTTACATATTAATGTGGCCCTGCCAAACTGGTTTCCTTGAAACCTCCCTCTTTTGTGTTACCCTTCTATTTTCTCATAGGAGAGAAAAAGATTAATGAGCATAACTGTTAACCTATTTTGTTATTTGCATGATTATGTCCACACATTTACACACATACACACACACACACACATACACACACACAACCTAATTATGTGTGTGGG